CAACGAACCCTGTTTTGTATATGTATCTGTGTATCTGTATCCGCTTTTGCAGGCGACTGTAGCTGTGTGTGTGTGTGTGTGTGTGTATTTTATGTACACATGTACACAGCTGTACCCTGCATCGACGGCTGTGTGCGTGAGTGGGTGTCGGTCTCTCTCTCTCTCTGTGTGTGTGTGTGGCCCGAGTTTCGGGCCACTTTACAGCCACAGAGCCACCCACAACACAACAATGCAAAAACGTCTGCATTTCAACTAACGCCACAAATGCTACCCAATACACAAAAAACAACAACAACAACTAATGCAAACCCTGGAGAGCAGCCCCTCCCCCTCTCCACCCCCCCCCCCCCCCCCCCTCTTCATCAGCTAATGCAGCAGCCTTTGTTGTTGTTGTTTGGCTGCCGAAAAACTTTGATACATACACTCTTGGAGACAGTGTGGTCCCTACGCCCCCACCCCCCCGCACGCACACACCTTATCCACAAGCTGCCTGATTGGAAAACTGCTTTTACCACACATTTTCAGCAATGGTTTTTCTGCTTTTAGCACTTTTGTGAAAAACCAAAATTAAAGCATATTTATATATACCAAGAAATATATTCATGTCTTTTAATCGATTTTTTTTCGCCAACACGCGACAGCAGCCCAAAATCAACCCACTCAAAGGGGCTGCCCAACGCCCTCACAGCCGCCCCCCAACCCCATTCCGCCCACTCCCCAGTCAAGTCGCACCACCCACGTTGGCATGCCGTCTCGCTTACACGCACAGCGCAGCAGCAGCGCAGCGCGCGCTCTTCTCGCGCCTTGACAGAGTTAAGCGAAGCGCACACAAAACAAAAATAAAGGCCATAAAAAACACTGAAGAAAAAAGCTTGAAAAAAAAGTCAACCATAAATTCAGCGCTTGGCAGCACTGTGTCCGCACTGTGTCCACTGACCCTTTGCAACACTGTTGCGTTGCAGAGCAAACGGCGACAAGTTGCTCTCTGTTCTTGACTTTCGGGCGATCTGGCCTGATCGTGTCTAAACGCTGCAATTGTTGACACTTGGTTTCGATAAAAGTGAACGAAAGACAAACGATTGGCGTGCAATTTAGTTTGGGTTGCCACCAGGCGCGTGGAAGTCTTAACGGACAGACACACACACACACACATTTACATATGTATGTACACCATATACATGGGTGGCGAGAAGAGAGTCAATACTAAATCTTGTTGCTGTCCGGGAGCTCTCTGTTAATCACGCTCTCTCGCTCTAGCGCTTGAAAATGTAATCACTAAATGGATCGCAATGATTTTGTGTAACTGTTTCTCCCGCTTTGGCTTTTGTTTTAGTTGTCACGATGTTTGGTGCTTAGGCTTAGCTTCACACATACGTGTGTGTGTGTGTGTATTTGTAACTTGACGAAGCATCGCTACATGCAACTATTGAAGCATGAGCATGCAATTTATGTACTCACACACACACACACACACACACACATTCGCATTCATCATACATACATATAAAACTATGAAATACAACAACATCGCTAAGCGACTGTACTTTTGATATAAAATCCACTCAACACACATAGAAATGCAGCCATACACATACACATGCTGGCATATGCACTAAAATACAACCCCCCAACCTCCACCCCCCCACACGGCACCCACAGGCGCTACTCTCTGTTTAGTTTTAGTTGCGTTTAAACTGCAGTTGCTTGTTGTTGTTGTTGTTGCTATTGTAAGCCTCTGCACATAGAGAGCTTGTGTATGTATTGTGTATCGTATTTGTGTGTGTGTTATTTCAACAATTCGTTTGCATTTGCAGCAAACGAAATAGAAATCAAATGCACAGTTGCAGCCGACTGCGAAATGCTCTATACAGAGTACAATAAAAAAAAAAACAGCTGAAACGGAATACAAATTACACAAATCTAATAAACTGGCTTTAAAGTTAAAACTAGCCAAAGATTAAAATCGTATTGAAGTGAGAGCATCCGAGTGTGCATCATACCCGTATTAGCTATATGGTTAGTGTATAACAAGTGCATAGAGCAGCAGTGATTGGCAGCTCGACATGAGCCCAGCGGCCCGGGAATGCAGCTCCACCCAAGAGCCAAAGAGCGGAACTGCAATGCAAGTGTTGAGTAGTTGGGTCAGAAGAAGAAAAACCTTCATAACCTAAATTGGAAAATTATTGCATTAGTTTTGTCTTCTGTTTCTTGTCGTTAGCTCCAGGTGATGTGGCCTCTGTGTGTGTGTGTGTGTGTGTGTGTGTGTGGCTGGTAAACAGGTGCGCTCCACTTGCACAAACTGAACGATGGAAATTTCGGCTGCTACCCCCGCTCAGAAATATTCAATACTAACTCTCAAACACACACACACTGATACAACGCACGATACCGATACCGACACCGATACACGTACACAAACACTGACACACACACACACACACAGGAACGACTAGAAAATGCGGGTCTGGGTCGTCATCGAGACGAGACGGCGAGAATGCAAGCACATAAAGAACGCCAAAAATAAGTTTAAAACTAACGACAGTCTGGTGCGTGCATGCGTGTGTGTGTGTGTGTGTGAGCAGGCAGCATATTAAGCGCCAAGTGTGAGAGAGAGCGAGCAAGGGGAATTGCTTGTATGTGTGTGCGTATTTTGGAGCATGCAACTTTTCGTGCTATTGCCAAATGCGTTCGTTGGCTCAAGAGAGGGAAAGAGATATAGAGTGACGGAGAGCGAGCGAGCGAGTATGCGAGTGGAAGGGGGCAAGGTAGTAGAGCGAGAGAGTGAGGCTGGACGAACGAACAAATGCATGCGTGCGTACGTCTGTGTGTGTCTGTGTGCGTTAAGGGTCACTTAACGAAACTTGCAAGTGCAAAAGCAATGCAATTAACTAATTAACGGTGTTACTTTGTGTGTTTTTTTTTTTGCGGCAAAAAGTTCATTAACACAATATTCAAATGTGCAAAAGCACACATTGTGTGCTCATTCATAATGAAGCCAATACACGCAATTCCTGCCAACTAAACACAGCCTAAATAACAACAGCCCACACACACCCACATCAGTCTGAGATATGGCAACCACAAATGTGTATATAGATAACGGCAACCCCGTCAACCAAACATAAAAACTTAGCCAAGCGACAAACTGAAAACATAAGAAACAAAAGAGGAAAACAAAAAGTAGCAGCAGATAATAAAAGCGAGCGCCTAAGCATGGCGTCACTGAGACGGCCACACGCCTAACAACAACAACAAGAAGAAGAAAACGCCAAGCGCCTACCCTACCGGAAAAAAATAACACGGTAAAAGCTGTAAAAATTGTCAATATAGAAAAAAGAGACGAAAAAAGTCAACGCTAACCAACAGCTTGCAAAATAATGTGCGCGAGTGTCGAAGAAGCCGCTGACATCGACGTAAGCGTCAACGTTAGCAGCAGCAGCGGCAGCGCAGCAGCGACTGAGGGTTTTTTTTAACGAGCCGAGTGACAAGCGCACACTAGTACGAGAACTCAACACACAGCACACACACACACACACATGTACATAACGACATGCATACGCGACGCAGACGCCGGCCGCAGCAGCAGCAGCAGACCGGTTGAGGTTAAATTGGATAGGGGAAGCAGATGCGATGGGCAAGGCGTACGGCGGGAGTACTGGCTGGCACGCCAAGGCATACATATTGAATTTTTCTTCGACGTAATGAAAATTTCAGCGTGTCGATGGGATGAATATGCTTGGCGCTATGTTATTTTACAGTTTTCTTTTTTGTACACTTACCGCGCAAAGAGCAAAAAAGAGTAGAAAATCCGTTAAGCTGCTTGTTGTTGTTGTCGTTGTTGTTGTTGCTGTGGTTGTGGGCGCTGCTGCTACTGCGACGCTGGCGTCCAGCCTCTTGGAATTTATGCTAATTTTCCAAGCTCACACACACATACACACACACTCACACACACAACCGCACGGAGGAAGTGCACAAAAATTGTATAATTTCTGTGCTATGAGAAATTTCACTTTTTTCCTGTAGTTGCGTTTGCTAATTTTCCTTATTTACTTGCACGCCCGCTTGTACATACATATATAATATATATATATACGCTTGCTTATTTATCTGCTATATATACATATGCACGTATGTATAAACGCGTGTACACTGTGTGCCTTTAACACTAATACACTTGCAGAACGCGCTGCTGCTGCTGCTGCTGCTGCTGCGTCGTCGCTGGCCGTTCTGCTTCTTGGCTGCCTTCTGCGGCTTTCCAAAAATGATTTTTTTTTCTCGCTTTTTTTACACGCACTCAAATCGCGATAGTTTTATGATTAGAGATATTGCACTTTTTTGTTTATATTGAATATAACAATTAATTGGTATTTGATTTGTTTACGACTCCTTGCTCGAAAACAAACACATGCATATTCAATTATATACATACATACACGAACTTTTGGGGGAAACCGTTGCAATTTATTGCATTACACCTGTTAAACACTCGCGTTTATCATAATTTGTTATTTTTTTTTTTTACGTTATGCTTAGCTTTGTTTGTAAACAAATAAAGTCGTAATTGTAAAATAATTAAACGGTGTTTTTATCCGCCAACGTTTCAGCGCGTCCAACCCGCTCGATGTTGTTTTTGTAAATGTTGCTTATACATTTAAAATAAATGCAGCAGTGTGACCGCGAACGGCTAATACGAAATATACCAATTTTCGACGCAAGCGAAGGTGGATCGCGTTTATGTAGGCCGCAATAGTATCGATGCCTAATGTTAGTTAACATTAAATGTGAATGTTATGTGAGGAGCAAACAGGGCTGTTAAAGTCAGCTGTTATTTTTAGTCTCTGCGTGAAGCATGTAGCGCTATTTGGCTGAAATATATAATTGTTAGGAAATCTTAAAACAATTTTTAGACGTTTTTTTTTTTAAAAACAATCGATTTCTGTTAATAAGAGATCAGCAAAATGTTATGCAAAAACATATGTTTTAGACGAACGACGTAAAAGAATGTCACTCTGCGAAGTAGTTCAATTTAGTGAGCCAGTTCGTTCCTCAAGAACTGGTTCACCCGTCGATCTTTTTACAAATAATAAAAATGTATTTAATTGCTTACTCAAAGGCTATAACAAAGGTATTTATATGCATGGCAACATTAGGCTTTGCCCAATTGCACCAAATGCTGCAAATAAGCCTTGCGGCAGTCCATGTTGTCCGCCGGCCGATTGTGTGGAGCCCAAACGGGTTCGCCAATAAAATAACGACGCGCTTTTATGTAGTTCTGTGGATAACAAAAAATGTTAAGTGCAGGCTTTAAACTCGTTCAACCAAGCTGACCTTGCTGTCCAGTGTGAAACGATGGTAAATGCCCGCCGGTATAATAATCATATCCCCCTTAACCACCTCAATGCGCAGCCAGTTGTCCTCGCCGCTAAAAAAGTGAAAAACTGTTAATTAAAGTTCATCCTGGAGAGCAACTGTTACAGGTTTACGCCATCATTTTGAAGGGTAACACTGGCAACACAATATGGTGTACTCACTCGCGCACATCGAAATAACCGGAACCATCGAGAACCAAGCGAATTTCCTCATCCGTGTGCAAGTGTTCCGTGTAGAAGGCCTTCAGCTTGTTCAGATAATCCGGCAGGCACTGCTCGGAGCAGGTGATCTGCGTGCAAACAAACATTAGTACATATTTATGCTTTATACCAGTTCATACCTGATCCTCGTAGGTGTAGCCACGCTTGCTGCGCAGTTCTTTCAGCAGCTCATCGTTCTCATGGTCGTCGGCATTGATCTGCACAAAGGGGAAAGAACGTGAAGATAAGCGCGACTTTGTCAAGGTCGTTGCGCGATTGGCCTACCCGAAAGTACTCCACGCCGGTTTTCTTGTACAGTGTTGCCAGATCCAGGTAGATGGGTGGATTCCGCTTGTGCTCCAGCCGCTGATCGCTGTCCTCGCTGTCCATAAACCACACCTGCACCATTCTAAAATTGCTGGCTTTGTGTTTTCGTCTCGCAACGTTCAGAGCAAGTTCGTGCGAACGACTGAACGAACGGAACCAGCTGGTTCATTTGGTTCGTTCGTTCAAATGAGCAAGGTGTTCATTGAGTCGACTAATTCCCATTATTTAAGAACGAACGGCTACAAGTTGAATAAATTATTTGTACCCGATATTACACAATATAAGTACCATTATCAAATATGGGTATTTATATTTTGCATATGAATAAGGGAAACGAGAAGGACTTAAAGAAAGATATCTAAATTGTTTGTGTATTGTAATGTTAACTTATTTCTTAATTTCTGCGTTTTAATGCAAAGCATATGCAAATTATAAAATGTTTGCGCACATATTTTCAATGCAATTTACTCATTTAAATGTACAAAGCATCACCGAATAATTCCCATTATAAAAAAAACGAACAGCTAAAAAAATACCATTATTTTTGAATATTCACCACAAAGTATTTTCGTGCAGCTGCATAAATTGTTCTCGTTCATTTGGTTCATTTGTGCAATGGAATGAATGAAGCACCGTTATTGTGCAGTTCATTCGCTTTGCAGACATTTTGTTTTTTTTTCGTTTTGCTTGTTTTGTTTGTTAATTTTACTGAAATACAAACGGAACTTCATTGGAATTTTCATGGAAATATGAAAAACAACACAGAAATTTCGTCAACTTGCCCAAGCTGTCAGAAACGAGTTGTTGTTTGTCGCATCGTTCGTAATATTTTACTCACTTGGCATTCTCGAACAAAATTAACAACAAACAAATTTTTCGTTTTCAAAATTTTTTACAGTTATTGAAAATTATGATGTCGCTCCGTTTGGCCCGCGGTATATTCAAGAAAATTCCAATCAGAAATTATAGCCGAGCACCCTGTGAAATTATCGAGATATTGGAGTCGGGCTTCGAGACATTGGCCCAATCCAAATCGCAATCGCTATTGAAAAAGCATTTGACCCAGGAGATATTCGATAAGATCAAGACCCGGGTGACGCCCTCCTACTGCTCCACGCTGTTGGACTGCATCCAGTCGGGGCTGTGCAATCACGATTCCGGCGTTGGCATCTATGCGCCCGATCCGGAGGCATACTCCACGTTTGCGGAACTCTTCGATCCGATTATCGATGATTATCACATGGGCTTCAAGGGAGCCGATAAGCATCCGGCAACCTGTTTTGGCTACGGTTCCGATTTTCCCAATCTCGATCCCGAGCAACGTTTCATTGTATCGACGCGCATCCGTTGCGCTCGCTCCGTTAAGGATTTCCCGTTCAATCCCTGCCTGACCAAGAAGGAGTATCGCCATCTGGAGTGCATGATCAACAAGGTGTTGAAGACGCTGTGCAACGAGCACTCCGGCCAATTCAAGGCGCTCAGCTGCATGGAGAAGGAGGAACAGCAGCAGCTGGTCGATGACCATCTGCTCTTCAAGGAGGGCGATCGCTTTCTGCAGGATGCGAATGCCTCCCGGTTCTGGCCGACTGGACGCGGCATATTCATTAACCAGAATCGCACGTTTATCGTGTGGGTCAACGAGGAGGATCACATACGTGTCATATCCATGGAGAAGGGCGGCGATCTGGGCAGAGCCTACGAGCGCATGATCATTGGCGTCGAGTCGCTGGCGCATTCGCTCAAATTCAGTCACGACAAGCGACTCGGCTATCTGACGTTCTGCCCCAGCAATCTGGGCACCACCATCCGTGCCTCTGTCCACATCAAGCTGCCCAAGCTGGGCGCCGACAAGGCCAAGCTCGAGGAGGTCGCCAAGAAGCACAATCTCCAGGTGCGCGGCACCAGCGGCGAGCACTCCGAGGCCAAGGACGGCGTCTATGACATCTCCAACAAGCGGCGCCTGGGCCTCACCGAGTACCAGGTCGTTATGGAGATGCACAAGGGCATCACCGCCCTGATCGATGCCGAGTGCCAGGCGAGCTCTCAAAAATAGATTTTTTTTTGTTTTTTGCCTTTCATTACGCTTTTCCAGCTGCGATGCTCGCATGATGTAAGCCAGCATAATAAATAGTGTATATTAACTAACTCACGTAAGAAAATGATCAATTAGCTTCAGCTTCAAGTTTCGGTATAATGCTAACATACCGAAATTCCCTAAAAATCGGCCTATTTTATCATAAACTATGTGCATTTTTTCATTTTTAGTGCAGCACGCACATACATACATGCATGCATACATGCATGCATGCATACATACATGCATGCATACATACATGCATGCATACATGCATGCATGCATACATACATGCATACATACATACATGTATACATACATGCATGCATATATACATGCATGCATACATACATACATACATACATATATACATACATACATACATATATACATACATACATACATATATACATACATACGCATGTACGTACATACGCATGTACGTACATACGCATGTACATACATACATCTACCTACATACATACATCTACCTACAAACATACATCTACCTACATACATATCTACTTACCCGCCCACCTCCTCCTGCGCCGCCTCCTCCTGCTCCACCGCCTCCTCCGCAGCTGCTCCTCCAGGCCGACGGAGCCAAAGTGCCCTGCCTTGGTGAATTTATGCAGGGCCTAGTTTAATTTTTGAGAATCGAGGAGGACAGCACCTGGCAGAAATTCGTTTTATTTAAATTTGAAGCACAACGACAAATAAGCTAAGTCTGCGTTTGGCATTAGAAAACAGACATGCACGTATACATATATACATAATGCACACATACATACATACATACATATATACATACATACATACATACGTACGTACATACATACGTACATACATACATACACACATATATATATATATATATAGTACTTATTATTGTATAAAACATATAAAAAGTGGAATTTGGCTCTAACCTCATGTAAAATGACTTCCTCAATAAAATCTGTGCTTATTGTCCGATCGGTTTTCAAATATATATATATACATATATATAGATACACAACATATACACATACATACATAAATACATCCTCCCGCTTGGGCAATTTTCCAAAGTCTTTAAAACTCGTATTTACATTTTGTAGAAACAATTTGAGAATTAACTTATCTAAACTTTTTTCTTTTGTTTTTTTTTTTCTCTAACTTAAACACACTATTTTTTTGTATTTTTTTATTTTTTTTTTATAATTTTAATTCTTTTATAAACTTAAGACTTAAAATAAAAGTATTTAAAGTTTCTTTTGTTGGTTGTTTTTTTGCTTGACACAAATGCCAAAATGTTTTACATTCTTTTGTTTATAATTTAAGCAAATATTTTGTGAAATAGTTTTCCATTGTTGTTGTTGTTGTTGTGGGTGGTAGTATGCAGTTTGGTGTTGTTGTTGTTGTTGATTTTGGTGGTTGTTTAGAGCAGCAGCAGCAGAGCCTGGTATTCCGTAGCCGGACCTGGCCGCGACCCTCCGAGTCCAAGTAGAGACAACAAATGCCGAGTGCCGCAGGCAGCCGGATTGGTTTGATTGCCGCTCCGCAGCGCTACAAATCCTACTACAAACTAAAGCAAACACAGCCGGAACGTTTCAGGACGTTACGAGCTGCAGATTTCCAACTGGATTAAATGGACTCCGCGCCGATTTTGATGTTGTGTGTGTGTGGGACTTCGGTTGTTGTTGTGCCCCAGGGCGTAGTCCATGTGATTGATTGGGTGGTTGGACAGCTTACAAGCTCTTCTCGAGCTTGATCAGCTCGGTGATGCCGTCGTACATCTCCTTGACGGCCTGGTATTCGGTGAGACCCATGCGACGCTTGTTGGAGATGTCATAGACACCGCCCTCGGCCTCGGTGTGCTCGCCGCGAGTGCCGCGCACTTGCAGATTGTATTTGGCAGCGACTTCCTCGAGCTTGGCCTTGTTGGAGGCCAGCTTGGGCACCTTGATGTGCACAGAGGCACGGATGGTGGTGCCCAGATTGGTGGGGCAGAAGGTCAAGAAGCCAAGACGATCATCGTGGCTGAAGGGCACACGCTTCTCGATCTCGTTGACGGCGGTGACCAGACGGCGATAGATTTCGCCAAGATCGCCGCCCTGCTGCATGGAGATGATGCGCAAATGATCCTCCTCATTGCACCAGACCAGGAAGGTCTTGTTGTCGTTGTGGTAGATGCCACGACCCGATGGCCAGTAACGGCAGGCGTTGGCCGCCTGCAGGAAGCGATCGCCCTCCTTGAACAGGAAGTGATCATCGATCAGCTGCTGCTGGACGGCCTTCTCCATGCCGGTCAGCGGATAGAATTTGCCCTTCAGCTCACCCTCCAGGCCGGACAGGGTGCTGCTCACCTTGCCCTCCATCTCCTTGTACTGGGCCTCGGTCAAGCAGGGATTGAATGGATAGCCCTGCATGGAGCGACCGCAACGGACACGAGTCGAGATCACATACTCCTTGGTGGGGTCAACGTTGCCAAAGGTGCTGACATCACCGAAATCGGAGGCCGGATGCTTGTCGGTCTTCTTGAAGCCACCATGGTAGTCCTCGATAATGGGATCGAACAGATCGGCGAACACTGTATAGGCCTCGGCATCGGGTGCATAGATGCCAACGCCCGAATCGTGATTCTCCAAACCGGACTGGATCACATCGAGTAGGGTCGACTTGAAGGTCGGTGTCACCTTGTTCTTTAGGTTGTCGAAGACCTCCTTGGTCAGGTACTTCTTCAACAGCGACTTCGAGTCGGAGGCGGCCAACTTGGCATAACCCTCCTCCAGTTTAGCGAGAACAGCGGCGTCAACCATGGTGTCTTGTTTGCTGCAACAAACAACAACCACAAATTGGTTAGTTCAAAACTTTTCAAAACTGCAGACCTAACCTCAAAGTTTTATTATTTCAATTGCTTTTATGATCTATTTTTTGTTGAGTTTCAATACAGATCTTTAATTTGATTATATTACACATTAATTTATGGTATGAGAACAGTTTATTTAGTATTGTTCTTAATGAGTTTCAAGGGTTACGAATCAGACTTAACCTCAAAGTTTTTACTATTTCTATATACTTTTGTCTTTTTGGCGTTGTTTAGCTTTAAACCATGAGCTTTACAGTTTTATTCTGCAATTCAATTAAACTGTCATGTTTTGACTTCAAAATGTGAAAGATAGGACTTTCGAATCAGACTTAACCTCAAAGTTGTTACTATATCTGATTCTTCAAGTATACTATATGAACTCTTATATTTTTGGCGATGTTATCTTTATCAGCATTATCTTTACAGTTTTATCCTTCAATTCAATTAGATTAGATTGCAAATGGAAGATAGGACTCTCGAATCAGACCTAACCTGAAAATTGTAAATACGATGTTCTATCTTTCTTTGGGCGATGTGTAGGCTTAAAGCCATTATATTTACTGTTTCTTACTTCGTTAGTTTATTAAGTTGTCATGTTTTGAGTGATGAATGTGCAAGATAGTATCTTCGAATCGGCTTTAACCTCAAAGTTTTTACTAATTTGAGGTTCAAGTCTTTTTAAAGCTCAAGAAAGCTTTCTGAAAGCTTTTATTTTTGAATTAAATTCAAATTGAGCAGTTTAGAGTTAATAAAATAAAAAGTTAATGCTCTCCAATCAGTTTAAGCTCCAAGTTTAAACCTCAAAAATAAAAGTTGTCTCGATTCGATGATATTTTGTAGTACAAAAAAGTTTTCAAATTCATACGGACGCGCCCCCTATACTCTGGTATAGGGGTTGATTTAGTGCCTCGTTTTTGTATGGTTTTTGGGTACTTTCAACCAATTGATGCGCCCGTCAGGTTGCTCTGTATTATGGCAATTGTGGCGCCCAAAAGTCGGCAAAGGCTATCGTTTTGGGCACGCGACAGGGCAATTTTAAAGCAATCCATTAAACGCCGCCCGCACCACACACATACACACACACACACACGCACACACTTGGTGGTTGCTCTGCAATTGAGCTGTTGCTGGGGGTGTGTGTGGGCTTGGTTGGTTGATTTTGCCGGCTGGCGCTGAATACGAACAGAGCCGAGTCCTGCCCTGTACCGGTCCCGGCTGCGGTGCGGCACATGCGCGCCGCATGTGCCCGGTTTTTGGCCTGGGCCCCGGTCAGAGACCAGGGCAATAATATTTGTATGACACTCAAGTTTTTCGGGCAGCCTGACGTCAGCAGCAGATACACACACACCGACACACACACGCGCAGATCTAGGACCTATGACAAGCCCCGCAAATTGTATACACACCCATCCTGGCCAGCGGCATCTGGGTCTGCAGCCGCTGTGGCGGCTCCATTGGGCTCGCCGCCTCCGTTGGCCGTGGCGGCGCCGCCCTCGCCCTCGATCACTTTCTCCTTTTTATCCTTGGAGGCGCACAAACCCATTCTCTCTCCTTTCTTTTTGTTTTGTAAAGTTTTGTTTTTTGTTGTAAAAATTTGGCCTTGTCGCTTGGTCACAAAGGTTTTTTAGTTTGGAGTGTGTGTAAAAAGGTGCAGGTAAAAATGAAATCACAATGCAGCTGCTGCTTTTCCGCTTTTCCTTCCGTTAGTAACTACTTTTCACACACACACATATGTACACTCTAACTAACACACGCACGCACAACACACACAACACTCGCACACGCACACGCTTAAATCGTATTGCTTTTGGTTTAAATTTGTGTTTGTTAAATATTTGATTTCAGGTTTTTCTTTTTTTTGGTGGTTCGCTCGTCTTAAATGCTGGCAATAATTGTCAAAAATTGGATTTTTGTTCTCATCTATTGTTTTTTTTTTCTTCGTTCACGTTTCTCGCTGCCGCGCCCAAAGGTATACTACAAGAGGCTACTACACAAGAGTCTAGGCTACACTAGGGAGCAAAAAGGACGCGCGCGCTCGTGCTACAAGGTGCTAAGGACCAAACTGGCTGCTGACTAACACGGGCCACACTAGCCAAGTAGACTCTGCTGCGGATTCGCGATGCGTCGATTCGGGCAGAGACTGGCTCGTCGTTCGGGCACTCGCACTGACGCGCCCAGGACGAGCTGCCTTATTCAGCGCGAGAGAGAGAGAGAGAGAGCAGAGTTTTGCCCTAGCCGGGGTTGAAAGACGCATAGCCTAGCCGCAGGCGCCGGCGGCAGGAGGAACTGTTGCCGGATGAGAGCAGCGCAGCGCAGCATAATGCGGAAGGATATATTTATTGCGATGCGTCCCAAAGGCAGGAACAACCACCAGCAGCTGCAGCAGCTGCAGCGGGCGGCTGGCTGGGCGCAAATCGATAAAATTTGTGGCACGCGGCACTTGAAAATTGTTGCGCCTAAAAAGCCAGGGCCGGGCACGGGGTTCGGTCAAGTCAGCTTCAAGTGAGGGCTCGAGAGTGTGAAATGAGGGCTGGCGCTGCTTGTGCAACGCCTCGAGTGTGTGGCATGCGGCACGAAATCACGGCCAGGCCAGGCTTTGCGGCATGGAGTGCACGTGCACTCGGGTCTAGACGGGGGAGTCTGCGAAACTCGACTCGATGCGGCGACGTATCCATCAGATACTTTTCACGCCTGTGCAGTGGCGCGTAACGAGGGTGGGGGGGGGGGGCGGTAACGGGTTGTTGCATGTCTGTGCCACATTATTTGTGCAATTGCATTTCGCTTTTGGTTTTGTTTAGGTTTTCAGTTGCCTTATTTGATTGAGTCAGCCTCGCGAATCTCTCTCTCTCTCTCTCGTGACTAATTGCTGCGTCTCTCCGGTGACTAATTGCCGCCCCACACGCCCCCACGCCCACTTTATCCACATACCCCGAACAAACTATTAGGCCAACAACTGCAAGCTGCGCATATTGATTTGAAATTGAAAACAATTTAGCCAGCAATTCGGCTGCCCCCCCCCCCCCCCCCCCCCCCCCCCCCCCCCCCCTACGAAACTAAGCCCCTGTCTCTGGAAGTCGAGAGTGACTAACGGAGCGCGTTTAATAATACTTAATCAGTCTAATCAGCTTAGACTAGCTAGCACAGCTAATTGGCGCTATCTAGAACAAGAACATACTTAGTATATAGTATATTGGACGTTATCTGTCGAATTTGCAGCATTATCTTGGCATTATCTTTGCAAAACGCAGATAATTTCAAAAGAGATCTTAACTCAGTAGAGGCAAAAAGCAGTACAGTGGCCACTCGCTAGGCAGAACTTGCACAAATGAGATATATATAAATACTATTTTATATATATCAATTGTCTATCTATGAAATGAAGCTCAAGGAATCATGACTTGTCTTTGTATTATGTTTTTTGATTAACTTTAAGCTCTGCCTGGAAAATGTTTCTTACTCTAGCCTGATTTTACCTGACCTGCATGCCAATAGATGTGCTTGCTTTTGATATACTATAACAAGCACTTGGCTACAGGCATCTTGGGTTAAGGCATGACGACTTTTATAAGTTAGTCTCAATATGAAAGGTCCTCTCATTAGGGAGACCGACCTTTCATTGGGGGTGAAAGGTCTTCTCATCTGTGTGAAGAGGGCGCCTTTTATCTGGGTTCATCTTTAGTTAGGCCGACTAAAACGAGTGTCTTTCCAATTACTAAATACATCAACTTATGAAAATTAAATGCTAAAAGTTAGGCAGGAATACACAATAGCTTCTAATAGCATCAACGACACGTTGGAGGTATTGGCATATGAGACTAACATAGGGAATTTGCAAGGCTTTAACTTAGGCAAACCCAATAACTCCTTTCTCTAAACTCCTTTAAAGTCCTGCCCATGCTTAAGTTGGACTTATGCAGCTCTATAGCACAATCTAAAACAAATTGAATTCTTCGTAGTAAAGAGTCGAAATCTACCTCGTTTGGAATGGAAGGCCTTTGCCTATTCCAGATCGGAACATTAACTGAGGCAGCAAAGCAATTATTTCTTAACTCATTAAATCTATTATCTTAAACTAATCGAGTGCTCAAATCGATAACTATCTTCTCCATAACAATAACATATTCCCTACGATTAAACTCTAAAACAGAAAACGAATGGAATTTCCAAGGGTTTTTCCTTTGGATCGTGACACTCTAGCTGCAATTATATCTCTTGCTTTTCACTTTTGCTTTTTTTTTTTTTGTTGCGTTTGTCATTCGTTTCAGGGAATTTGGCGGTGGAAACTTTGAGTAGTCATATGAGCGCCGTTTCGTGTGATAATTGCCACATAAAGATAAGCTATTTTTTGTTTTTTGCACTGGTTTCTTTTTTTGTTTTAAGATTGTGAACGATTGGTTCGCCGCCATCTTAGCGACAACGCCCCAGCTAAAGTGTACTTTTGACGAGTGCAGCCAGGTTTGGGCTGTTAACGGGGCAACTAATCAATTAAGTCGAGTGTGCCACAACATTCATGTCGCCAACAGACTCTCAAGGGTCCTCAAGGCCCTGGCAACAACAAAATGCGGCGGCGGCACTTAAAAGCGACAGCAAATCGAATTAAGTTGGCACAATTGAAGAACTGATTGCATTAGAACCCCCTCTTCCTCCTCCTCCCTTTAGGCCAACTCGGCAACCCTCAAGGCTAAAACAGGCAGCGAGCTACGTGACAGCCCTGGAAAAACAGGACGCAGCCTTATGAATTTTCTCTTCTTTTTCTTTTCTTTTGCACAGAATTCACGAGTGTTTCAATATGTTTGCCCAACCAAATACAGTGAAAACTCTCGCTTGGGCGAACGCTCATGTCTTCAGTTCCTCTTCTTGTCGAGACGCAAGCAAACATATGGAAAAATAAAGTTTCAAACGCATTTCCTTTATGCTAAAAATTGCAGGTATGTTAAATGTCAATTTTGTTTTTCGATTTCTT